TACCTTCCCCTAAAGTTTGGCACGTTACTTCTGGGACACCCTGTATGTGTTTAACACTGATACCTGTTATTGTTTGTGTGCTCTCTTTAAAGTTCAAGTTAAAGAAGCAGTTGTTATAGTTTAGTGTTCTAGTTACCGACAACTTTGCTTGCGTCTTTCGCTTCGGCGGTTTAATCGAATACTTCGACGAATAGACCGGGGAAACCAGCCAACAAAGGAGAATCTTATCGGCCGATAACACTCCTCTCCCCGCTAGCGTAGATACTATAGGCTCTGCTGCTCCCGTATTTCACGAACCACCTGACCCCAGCGAAGCATCAGCATGGTTAGACTTAGAAAAATAAAACAGGGGGTTCCACAGGGTGGTGTCCTTTCCCCGCTACTGTTTAACTGATACATTTCAAAGCTCGCTCAACCACCAGAGGGAGTCTCGATTGTCTCTTACGCCGACGATTGCTCGATCATGGCGATTGGGAATGGAACTGATGACTTGTGTTGGAAAGTAAACGGGTATCTCTCCGAGCTTTCTCGCTTCTTCACTGCAAGGACCCTAACCCTCTCCCCTACAAAATCCTCTGCGACCTTGTTCAACACCTGGACGAAGGAGATCAGGCTACCGCTGGGGATTCACGTCGATGATACGTCCGACGGTAAATAACCCCAAAATACTCGGAGTAACCTTAGACAGTCTGCCTCCCTTCTCTGCGCACGCAACCCCTATTGTCAACAAAGTACGGAGCCACAACAAGGTCCTCAAGTCGCTAGCCGGCAGTACTTGGGGCAAAGACAAAGAAACATAGCAGGACGCAAAGGATGAAGCTGCAGACGACCCAAAACACCGCACTACGGACAGCGACTGGATGCCTTCTGATTTCGCCAGAACGCCACCTGCACGACGAGGCTAAATTGCTCCCGGTCAAGAAGCACAACACTATGCTCTGCAAGCAGTCCCTTGTTAGGAGCCATGGACGTGCTCACCCTAATGGGCAGCTGCTTGCACAAGAGCATAATAAAGGAAAGCTGAAACAACATAAAAAAGCGTACGTTACTTGCAAACTATAAAATAAATATAAGATTAAAGAATTTCAGCAACACACAAAAATAAAGCTTTCGCACGAGCGTTTGTATGGGTTTTCAACTGTCAAAATTTTACTTTGCATTTGGCACAGCAAAATTCAATTTATGTGTACTACACCATAGCAAATTTTTCCACCCCGTCTCACCACGGAGAAAAAAGTTACCGATTGGCACAGGCCCTTAGAACGAATTGAAGCATCACAAAAACATGATAAGTATTGCGAACCGCGATGTAGACTTCAAAATTTCTAAAGCGCTGTTTATACTTGCATTTTACTGCAGCGCACAACATGAGTACTGCCACATATGGAATCTGTTTAAAGAGCTTTGCATACAAGCGATTATCCGATGCAGATCATGACCGGGCATGACAGCGAAGTCTGGACAATTTAGATTTTTCGCTATGTGACATTTTCCAAGAGTGGCTCCGCACGTATTGCTCTCATTAGTCTGTTCCAGTACCCATAAGAAATCCTGCAGAACTGGAACAGACTAACTGATTACACTGAACAGCTGATTCTTGGAGTCTATGCGTTCCATGCCGAGTATAATTACACCACAGCTTCACATGCGCTGCTTCTTTATGCCCCGCACTTGCAATGTAAGAATAACCACGCTTAAATATTTTGCGATCCGCATCACGATCCATCAATATTGCATGCTAACACCTCAATAAATACTTATCGTGTGATAGGGCCCATAGAAAAGTAAAGAAACAAAGCTATTATTAACAGCTGGCCGCTGAACTTGGCATTTTGTGGGTTTTTGCTGAAATTTTATTCAACAATTTGAAAATCTATAATTTCCTGAGAAAATGAATATAACAAATACAGAGGAATATTCGGTAATCCATTACTTATAAATAATAAATGGTATTTTGTGTATACATACATGACCTTTGTCTTTTACCTATAGAATCCGGAGAAGAAATCGCTTGACAAGCTTGTATTTCGGATATCGGCTGAAGATGGATTACCACCTCAAACAATTCCTGCTTTAGTAATACCATACCAATATTTTAAATTGCTTTATGATAAATTCCTTCCAAATTTCACATATTTCTAGCACAAACACTGGGCACGACGGGTAAATTTTTGTACATATGTAGGACTAATGACACAATATGGTCGCGTTAAAAGTGGCGTTGAACTAGAGGAATGGCAGTACAATGCAAACCTATTTTCCAAAGATATGAATTTCTTGCTAAATTGCCACCATCATGAGTAAGTGAAATATGATTTCTAGTTAAGGTTAAATAAATTAGCTGGTTTTCAGATTTTGGTCATATATGGTTTTTCAAAAGACGGCATTA